TGCAAAAGGCATCTGCTGACGATTCCAAAGAAAAAGTGAAATATGCGTAGGTGCCAGTGTAAAATCCACGAAATAAGCTGACGGCAGTCAACTTCTTCGTGGTCCATTCTTCTGGCCGATAGAGATCCAGGGATAACAAGACTAAAAGCAAGCGGTTCATGCAAGTAAAACAAGAATAAAATGAGGTTCGAGGGTAAGTGTTTGGAAACGGTTTGCGTCACGATCGTTTAGTCTGAGTAGCCAGCGATCGAATGAGCAGACTAGGCAACATCCATCATGTGTGCAAAAGTTTCCGAGTGCATAAAATTTGGGTTGCATGAGCGACTACCCCAACTTTGGGCGTAGACCTACATTGAACAGATCTTGTCAAGTAGATAGATACTCAGTACCGTATTCAAAAAGCATAAGATGCTTAGCATTTTGCAGGAAGTAAAAACTGCCAGTATTTGATAGCACAAACACTTTAAAATGTTTTGATCGGAAGCTATATGCACTATCCAAAATCCACAAACCAGGCCGTCCGCTCAGACCTATCCTTGATACGCCCAGGTCCCCATATTGTACCTCAGCTAAATCCTAGGCGGATATTTTTGAAATATTTAGTTACAGGATATGTTAGCACTGCCGTCAAGGTAGGTTTACATTTATGGACGCGACCACGGGGGTGAATAAAGTCGAGGGGCCCATGATTTCGTTAGATGTATCTTCCTCCTTCACGAACGTCCCGCTCATCGAAGCCATCTGTTATCATTTTGACTAGTAATGGTTTAAATGGATTATTACTGCAATAAACAGATGATGTGTAAAGTCAGCTCAACAAAAACATATGCACCAACAACATGATGGTGTCTCGGTGAGTTCCCCACTGGGCCGAATCCTAGGTAATGTTTGTATGGGAAGACTTGTGGGCCATCGACTCCATCTACCCACGATGTCTGGATGGCATATACACGTTGTATACAATTCCTCATACCTACCAAAGATTTCACTGAAGTTCATTAAAGCACAGTGGACCGAAAGGGAACAGAGGAACGTACAGATGCTTAAAGCAGCTGTCAAACTTTCGGTTAACCTACAGGACAAATATAACTTTGGCAACTTAGTTCCACTGAAACATAAGTGAACTTACTTAGGTTTGTTGTTGAAACGAAAAAAAAACTGCTCTGAAATAGGTCTTGGGGCCAAACTTCAGTCGCTAGCTAGCATGTTTCATAAAAAATGCTTGTCTGGACGGGTTCATCTCAAAACACACCACTGCTGCAAACAAGAAAACCAAACTAGTCACAGCGGAAGAAAAGCTGTTTTTATCGGTTTCCCTTCCAGAGAAAAACTATCCACAGACTACGTAACTGGGCGTTTGTGTCGGTGATGCTCCCACATCTCAAAGATAGGTTGGTTGTCACTCTCGGAGCAAGAGAGCCTTCTTTTTCGCATGCTATCGTCAATGCATAGGGCGCACGACACGGCACTCATGCGAAAGGACAAACGAAGATAACACTGGCTGACAACTGGATCGGGGAAGCCCATTACTATCCCAGTGGTCGCCCATTCGGCTGATGCTAGTGATGTGCTTAATTCTAACACCGCTTGTTTAGTACTTTACCAAGAACCTATCAAGATCCGTTCAGTATCAATTTGTGATCACATATGAGCCAAGCGCGATTCGCCCAAGCAACCCGGATTCTGTACACTCAGAAGGCATTCGTACGCGTATCGGGTATTTCGTCGCTCGTTCACGTGACAGCTGGCTACTGAGGCGAACTGATCGTGACGTTTGCATTTTTCGGACATTTATCCACAAACTTCAACTCGTTCTTGTTTTACTTTCATGGATCGCTTGCCTTCGTTTTTTTTATTATTATCTCAGTTGGTATTGTACTTTCCAATTTTTTCGGATAGATCGAAATCGTTTGTCAACATTCTGACATGTCAGATTGAAACATCTCAAGAGTCAAAAATCCGTTTCTCTATAATTTTGAAACAGATGTGCCTACATTGTTAAAAACATCAACCTGAGTCATTGTAAGAAGGCTGACCTATAGTGTCAAAAAGACGAATTTGTTCTCTGAGTAAAAAATTCACATGAATATACAAATTTCGTTCAGAGTCCTGGTGCGAGTTCACAGATGGCATAAACAGACATCAAGAAAAGATTGAATTCTCACGAAAAAAATGTTTCTACCTGACGTCATTGCCTCCGTGCGCAAACGAATCGAACACAGCTGTGAGGATTTGTAATTGCGAAAACACCTTGTATTCGTGTGGACGATCGCTGATTATTTCCAGTTCCTGCGGTTCTTCCTAAAAGTAATAGGACGGGTGTTGTATTGATTTTTCCCTTCGTTTAAACAAATTTGGTTGAGTCAAGGCTATTACATTGGGTTATCTGATTGGTTAAAGGGCTTGGACTCGGGTCAACGAATCACCTTACTAAGAGACCGTAATTATCTATTCTAGCTAAGTCGCATAAAGTGATTACATGTGAAAAGCTTTCGAATTTTTTTTTAAAACTCAAGTGGGAAATTATGGAACCTAAGTAGTTACGAACAGGCTTATCGACAGTGCATCATGAAGGGTTAAGGTGTATGCCTGTAGATACACTTGTTCTTTCCAAAAAAACTCAGTGAATTAGGTCATGGAGGATTCGTTTGGTATTCAAAGTTCTATGTGCGACCACCTTTCTAGCCCCATATTTCGAGAGCTGTACTCGATTAAAAGTCCTTTTGGAATTACAAAGATGTGCGAAGATGTTCCCGATGCATCAGTAGCATGCACAGTAAAACGCTGTAGAACAGGCACCATGAATTTTGAAAGATATTCCCGACTGTAGTCAAGGGTTAACTTCAAAAGTCCTGCAAGGAGTGTAGATGTGACGCCTAATTGGACGAGATATTTAACCAAAGCCCTAGGGGACCGAAAGCCTTCTTAGATGGTACAGCTAGTCATTACGTGATGGACATCGTGTACATAATACTCCCTTTATTACGTATCCCGTGAACTTTTGCGTGAAAAAGTTCTGGTTCGCAACACAGCGGTTTATCCTGACAGAAGTGACTACCAAGAAAGCTCTAAACACACTTAGAACTGCTCCACATTGTTTCAGTACGGATTTGTCAGGCAGCCACTCCAGGTCTTTCTGTTGTCCATGAGCATCAGTTAAACCAAAATACACAATTTGTGTTTTTTGGTTGCTTGCGTGTTTAGAGTTTTCATCTCTGACGTTTGTGAGTAGCAGATTGAATTAATGCGTTTTACAGGCGTCTTTATCTAGTTATCAACATAACAATAAGGTTGGCTGCCTTTTGGGATCGATAATAATCACCGTATAGATACGTTGATCACCAGTGCGATCAACTAGGCTGATCTCTACAACTGCGGGAGACTGTAAGGATCTGTCTTTTTATTGATGGTAAGTTAGCCGAATGCAAACAATTGTCTGTGGGATGCTCAAATATGCCAGTTCACGGGTGACTAAAGTAGTGGCTAGCAAGAATAAAAGCATGAGCATTCTGGAGGGCGGAGCTATAAGGAATACCGGAAATCTCTGTTTGCTTCGGCCAGGTGCACTGCTACCTCCAGAACACTCTTGCAGTATCAGGAAACGGCGCCAAGAATTAGGCTTTCATACATCGACCTTGGACCCATAGTTTGCTTACCATTAATTTCCAAGTCAGCTGTTATAAGGTGGGGTGAAAACTCACCGACACAATAGGTCTGAAAAAAGACTATTATTCATTTGGTGTGGTCTCTCATGTACGCAGAACCAGTTTGATTTTTAGCCACGCACGCGTCTTTTGTGGAATTCCGAAGAAAGTTCGCACCTCAAACAGTAGTTGCAGCTAATCAATTTTTGGGAAGAACTCTCCAACAAACACGGGAGGTCGGAGGTGAAGAAAACTCAAATTCTAAGCAAGTGACTGGTCAAAAAGTCCTTGATAAGCGAACCTGTATGCTTGAATGCTCATCTGGCCTTGTTTTTCTGTTCAGAAATGTGCATCGAGCGTGCGCTAATGTGCTAGCGAGACTATGCTCGTCCTGCGTTCTGTGTTTGTAGTACAAACCTTGACAGGGCTAGACGAGTGTACCAGTGTACAACTCTCACAAGAGCGAAATTCGAGTTCGTTGCTCCCTCAGTTTGATGTGGATAAATCAGTATAACTGTTCCAGGACAGGAAGTGAACTGTTCAAGTGAGAGTGGTAATACAAATCTAAGAAAGAACGAGGCAGTTTGTTTCGAAATAATGAATTGTCTTCGGTCTCATTCAGCCGCAAGTGTGGTACGACATGGTAGGATAAGTCTACATTTATATATTTACATACGCAGATTAAACAGGCGATTCACCTCTCCAATCGGGGGTAGTACGGGTTGTGTCAACATTCCACGTCTTGTGACTGACAAGTCGTGCTCAGTGGGATACGCTCTCACGGCCAAGTAATGGACAGGTTCTGCAGGGGGTTCCGCTGGCTTTGTGCTAGTTACCTCAAATTCTGGAAAAGAAACGCTGTCGTTAAAGGCTAAAGAAAGAAGTGCACTGCGAAATATTGTACAGCATTATAAATAAAAATGTTTAAAGGATATTGACAGTACTAGTGGACAAATCTCGCAAGTAGGGGACTTTTTTGTTTCATACTTGCCCCTTTGTAGACGAGTGTTCACTATCCATCGAAGCCGGCTTGAACAAGCTGTTATTGGCGCTTTCGCAGTCGCCTTGAATGATACTTGGTCAGAGGATCCAATGAGACTGTTTCCTAAATGAATGTTGACCACTTTTTCATATAATGGTTGTTTAGGTAATTCAAGAAAAGTTCAAACGAGGCTCCCGTGGATTTCTTCTTTCTTATGTCTGACTGCACTTTTCGGGAGATCTCGATTGTGTTTCACTGAGATGTAAATTTAGGTTTTGCGTGAACATGCACCCTGCGAGATCACACATCCCCTGGATAGAAAAGTTCATGTTGTCTGTTGTGAATACATTGCATGCACTCGTGAGTGGCAGTTTACAAACAAATTAGCCCGTCCGTCCAAACTTTCGGGAACAACATCTAGTTCATAACATTGTGTTATGTCGACAAACTGTAAGTAAAGGCAAATTAGCCCGTCCGTCCAAACAACATCTAGTTCATAACTTTGTGTTATGTCGACAAACTGTAAGTAAAGGTATAAACGTAACGCACCACTCATGAGGCTGCTAAAAAGCTCTTCATCAGCTCACGACTGGTTCTCTCTTCTCGGAACACATCAAATAGACGCACTCCGCGATTTCCCCAAACTACACGCGAGCTACATTCATTTGGAGACCAATCTGGCCTTTACGGGATCTCTCGTTGTGATGTTCACCTTCAACTGAGTGGGCTACATCAGGCCACCTCATGTTTCAGTTGGTACGATACATATTTTATAAAGTACAGGTGCGTAAATCACATAATGAACTCAAAGAACTAGAGCTTCGAAGATTTTCTGTGGACAAGCCAGGAAATCCAATTTCATTTACACAGTAGTGAATCTCTGGTCTACACACACTTCCGACTAACAGTGAACATTGCATGCTTTGTGATTTATAGTTTCAAAGACTTAAAGGAAACCGAAGAATCCGTCTGCTTCTGCTACAGCTGTGGTGTGTAAGACCGACTCATTGACACCCAAGTAAGGAGACCTGATCAAAAACAGGGGAATAAAAGCATTCATTCATCAGGGAGTACTATAAACTAATACAAGACTGCCAACCAAACTGCCTATTGGGACGTGGAGCGAAAATCCTACAGAAAATGGAGAGTTCTAATTTCGGCTGTAGAACAGGTTGATCAGTATCTACTATACTTACATTCTGATTAAGCAATAAAGGAATGAAAAAAATATATCAAGAAGAATTGAAACCATACTTTCGCCCGTTGAAAGTGTGTCATCGTATGGCGAGACTGATTGTGAGCGAGCAAATTCTACAAATCCCATAACTACATACACCCAAATAGCAGACAGTATGAATAATACGAATAATTCCAAATTTAGGGTGTCTACATAATTCATTCAGGCTAAAAAGAGGCAGCATAAAATCAGACTCACTTGTCGGCACAAGTCGGAAGGAGTTTTGTCTACCGGAGACACTTGTTGCAGATTCATGTCTGTCATCCACACCTGTTTTCCCGTTTCTCCCGTTGCGACTTGAATTCAGATCAGGACTGGCTTCCTCCACCACGATGCTTATTTCCGTTGGCTTTCTCTGACTCCCGTTCTCCTCTTTATCAAGTGTTTTCTTTGCCTTTCGATCTCTCCGCAGTCGTTGGCAGAGCATTTCTACTCGGTGGCATTTTAGAGCTGCATACATCTTGTCGCCTAAACCAGGACCGGCATCGTCTCCGGCTGAATAGAACGGAAAAACAAGGACAAAAAATAGTCTGGGGTTTTGGCTGCGAAACAGACTGTAAGAAAAAGATATTCAACAGCAGAACTACTTCAACTAATCCTTTAGTCACCGCGCTACCTGGCACTGCTATCGGCTATTAACATAAAGAACGGTAAATCCTATTGCTCAATCGGGCAACCTTGCCCTCTAAATTGAGAGCGGATCTGCGACTTTACATTCAACTACTGAACCGTCACAATAAGTAGTGATTTGAATACACACTAAGCAAAGTTGCTACTGAACCGCACAATAAGTAGTGATTTGAATACACACTAAGCAAAGTTGCGGCCACATGTGTAGAAGTTACAATAGCGAAGTCTTGGGGGACTCTGGTAAACCGAAGATTGTGTCTGCGAGAATATCAGGCACATCGGTAGTTAGTAAGGTAAGACACATTCACGGACTAGGTTAGTTTACGAGTCACCTCTAACTCGAACGTCCTCACCAAGTTCCCGTTTTGTGGTACGCAGATCATCAACACGTCAAAGTTTCTTGATGGGTGATGAGTCTGCGTGTTGTCACAAAATGTGACGAAATTTTCAACAATAAACTGAACGTACTCACGGAAGAAGCACTTCGAAAGAATTCAAAGGCTTCTGATTGGGAAAAACTTAAAACCAAACTGTTCAGTGAGTGAAAAGGAAC